GATCGCTGCGGTGCTGGGACGCATGGAGCATCCCACAGGAGTGCGAGGGGGCTCTCCAGCATGCTTGGCAGTGAACCTGGAAGAGGACCAGAAATACTTCCGGTCCACTTCCAGGTCTGCCAGGGAGCATGCTGGGGGGTCCCCCATGTCTCCTGGCTCAGTGATTGGCCACCGGGGGACCCTGGGTGCCCTCCCAGACCCAGGAGGCACCAGTTGTCGAGCCAAGGGGGTGCAGGGGGGCCCCCATGCGCTCTCCCCAGTGGACCAGGAAGTGGACTGGAAGTGTTTCTGGTCCACTTCCAGGTCTTCTGCCAAGCATGCTGAAGAGCACCCCGTGCTTCTGTGGGATGCTGCATCTGCCCCAGCACTACAGCGTTCAAAGCCTCTGCTACCTCTAGGTATGTAGAAAAAACATTTAAAGCTGTATCTATGTCTGAATCTGTCTGAATCTCTCTGAATTGATTTGGAGGGTTCTGAATCGATTCGAAGAGATTAAAGGGCCCTCTGATTCGATTCAGATTTGGAGATTTGGCCACCAAATTGGGCCAAATCTCCGCTGAATCAAATCAGGGGCTGAAGCTTCGCACAGCCCTAGTAGAGAGATATGACCTCTTCATAATCCATGGGGAAGGCACAAATAAATTTAGTTATGTTACAGTCTACCCAGAACCTGGTTTAATTTTATGCATGAGATCAGTCAGTTTTCATTGGGTACCCGAAAGTATGGAAATTCCTTGAACTACTGCCAGGGGATCCCTATATCCCTCTGGCTGTGGTTCTTCTTTCTTACCTGTGTAGTTCGGCAGGCAGAGACAGACATAGTTGTTGATCCCATCCACACATGTAGAGTTGTTTTCACAATCATTATCTTCGCAGTCATCTGGGTTTACTTCACATCTCTCCCCCTCATATCCCAGAGGACAAGAACAGCTTAGCAGAGAAGAAAAACAAACAAACAAAACCCCAAAAAGCAAAGATTAGTTTGGATTTCAGATTCTTTTCCCCCTTCTTTTTGTTGTAGTACTAAAATGAGGTGTAAGGTGACATAGATGAATGGCTGTAGCCAAATTTGCCATAGCTGTAAATGTCTGTTGTTCTGTAGAACTGACATTACTTAGTGCTTTTGGCCCTACTTGTGAGTGAATGGTGACACCAGCAGCCTGCAGTCATCTGTTTATAACATGGGGAGAAGAAATCCTCTCTCATGCATCACGCTGTACCCCTTGCTGATATTGTTATAGCTCACATCTTAAATAGGTATTTCAACCCTTTGCAACACAGCTAAATAACCAATAATCCTTCCTGGCCCCCCAACAAAACCAACCAACCAAAAAAACAAAGGTATTAATGTGAAACCTGTATTTACAAGGACTTGAGCACAGCTGAGAAATACTTTGCTAAGTTTTTTATCTTCTTCAAGCTCAGCTTTCATTTGATTAAGAAGTCTAGTTTTCATGGGCTGTGAAGCAAATTTTGGCCTATGTGGAAATTATGGAAAGCTACATCCTTTATTCTGTGTGATAGGTCAGTTTGGGAAGACTTTTAACACCATATGATAAGATTAAAAGGGGACAGGACAAGTTTCATTTTGTTGAAGGGATGGCTCAAAGTCCAAAACTGAGATATGTTTATCTAGTGGACTGTGAATTGCAAGCTTTTCTCAAATCAACAGCTTGAAGACCAAGAAAAAACTAAATAATTCCAGATGCTCTTGGTGAGAAGTAGGGGTGTGTGAAGCAGGCCCTATTCAATTCAGATTCAGATTCGGCCAGAATCAGGGACAATGATTTGATTCATTTATTTAATCACTGTCCCTGATTCAATTTGGTCGAATACAAAGATCAGATGCTGATTTGGAGAATCAGTGATTTGGACATAGACACAGCTTTAAAAGTTTTTTTTACATACCTTGAGGGAGCAGGTGTGGCTCATGATTGCTGTGATGCTGGGGTGCAGGCACCATCCCATAGGAGTGTGGGGGGGACCTCCACATGCTTGGCGGTGAACCTGGAAGTGGACCGGAAGTACTTCCAGTCCACTTCTGGGTCTGCCAGGGAGCATGCTGTGGCCCCCCCTGCGCCTTCCCAGCTTGGCAATCAGTTACAGGAGGACCCCCCCAGACCCAGGAGGTACCAGTCACTGGGCCAGAGGGAGGGTGCGGGGAGGCCCTCCAGTGCACTTCCTGGGGCACCCAAGAGTGGACCGAAAGTGCTTCTGGTCCACTTCCAGGTCTGCTACTGAGCGCACTGGGGAGTCCCCCACGCTTTTGTGGGTCACTCCTCATGACCCCTTGCTACCTAGAGGTACGCAGAAAAAATATTTAAAACTGTCTCTATGTCCGAACCTCTGAATGTTTCCGAATCTCTCTGCATTGAGTCAGAGGGTTCCGAATCAATTCGGAGAAATTAAAGGGTCCTCTGATTCAATTTGGATTCAGAGATTCAGCCACCAAATTGCGTCGAATCTCTGCCAAATAGAATCAGGGCCTGAAGCTTTGCACAGCCCTAGTGAGAAGCAGAATGTGGCTTTTATGGGAACAATGTAGAGTCAGCTGAATAAGGTGTTAGCCAGACTTTGGTAAGCCTTGTGAATTGACCAAGTCAGAAAGTCACCTAACAATTAGCTTAGCTGCCTATGGGTTGCTCTTTAAGCCAGTGATTCTCAACCAGGGTACTATAGCACTCTGGGGTGCCTGGAGGTCCTTTCAAGGGTGCTGTAAGGTGCCACACAATGTTAGCACTGTTAGGTGTACAAACATGATTCATAAGGTGAACCCAGAGATTTCAAACAGGAATCTTTTGGTTAGGGACAGAAATTACACATAAACTAGTATAAGTCATGTGAAAGCAGTTCAAATCTGTAACACAACAGAAGTTTAGTGCACATAAACCACTTTCAAAATGCCTGAAACCAGTTTAAGGTAAACCTGGATAGATGTAGTATCAGACTTAACTGATTTAGGTTAAATCAGTTTATTAAACTTCTATCCCAGATTCAAGTTAACTCACAGTCCCCTAGCATCCCAGGATGCTTTGTACCTCCCCTGTAACCCCACCCTCACAGGCTGGGTGGGGTAGCTTTGGCCCAAGCTGTTTGCTCCCACCAAGCAAGAAGGCATACTCTACCCCACAAAGCTTCTGACTTGGGTCACTGCAGGCATATGGCTGCATTTCTGAAATCAAAAGTGAGTGTCTGTTCACTTGCTTATTGGTTCAATCTACACAGCTTAGACTAACCTGCAAAGATTGAATTGATTCAGCCATGTGATGTTTTACTGTCTGTACTTAGCCATAGAGTCAAAAACATTCTGACCTCCTGTGTTTTTTCTGAGTTGTTTGCAACAGAAAAGTTGCTCTTATTTTTCTGTAGACAAAAATGAGTGAAAACTAACAATGAGGACTTTCTGAGGGGTATTTTGAGTTTAACCTTGGTGCCTGAACTCTAAAACGATTGAGAACCACTGCTTTAGGCAAAGACACTTGGGTGGGGGAGGGTGGGGGTAAGGTTGTAAAGTGTCAGATTTAAACATGAAAAGTGCTTTGGAAAGGTTAGGGGGGTTTTATTATCATTTAAAAGGGAAAGAAGCAGTGCAACTATACCAATCGCTGACCACTGTTGGATGAGTCAAGACTATTTCCTAAGGTAGGCAAAACTAGTGTATGTGGTTTAATATCTTGGATGTCCAGGCTGGAGATGAAGTAATCAGCATGGCTATGTGGTTACGATTGTGATTTGTAGATACTGTTGGTGCTGTGTATCAAGGAAACAGAAGGGTTTGGTAGCTGGAAGAGCCACAGATGCAGGGATGATAACATTAGATACAAGGGTATGAAGCTGGCTCTGTCTTCTTCATTTGTGATCCAAGGAGTGAGGACCTGGTACAAAAGCCCCAAACTATAAGACCACAGATGGCTGCACATGTACAATCTACACCTGCCTGAACATGATCCCAAGGAGTGACACTGGGTTCTCCTATAAAATGGGCTACCTAAATATTCACTTTCATTAGAAATCCAAGGAATTAAAAATGGCACAGGAAACAGTGTGATGGGGCAGGTGTCTCAACCAGTCACAACAAGAAGTGTCCAAATGAGGAATAGCGCAGAAACCTAAGTTACACCGGCAACTACATTCTCTCAATCCTACACTGGTCATTCATAGGGCAGGAGAGCTAGATGGAAGAGGAAACTCTTCACAGTGAAAGACTGAAAACAAACTGCTCAGATCAATCCAATTTAAAACACAATAAATCAATATGAAATATTTTCTTTTCCTGTCTCTACCTCATTAGTACCAATAAAAAATGTCCTCTTTCTGACCCTGCAATGATCCAGGGGATTGCAGAAGGCATATAAGAAAGAAGAGCTAGCACAGCATCTTTTGTGGCAAGAGGAGGGGAAGGAGGGTAAAGAAGTCTAATTAAATAAAGTGGTGCATTCATCATGTCACCCCTTTCCATTACAAAACCCCATTTTCAAGGGTTTATAACTCAGCCATAAAAATGAGCTCCAGGCTGCAACTTGGCATCCAAGGTCTCAGTTTGGGAGCATGGATCTTTCTTTCAGTTTAAAAGACAACAACAAGAGAACATGTTGCTAGTTATTTGGTGAGCCATTGTCCATGATCCCAGGATTTACAGTAGTGACATTACAGAATACGGAACTGCTAACAAATAATATTTTAGGATTAGGGTGCATTTGATTTTTGTAAGAAAGGGAAGTGTCGACATTATCAATGACATTTGGCTACCTTTCCACCCTATTATTTGGTAAGTTCTTGTATTATTATTTATATGTCATTCTTCTTCTCAATTTGCATTCAAATACACAAGTCTGCAAGTAGAAATTAAATGCTAAAACTTGGCCTTAGGTTGAACACAATGGTGAAAGAGGGCTAGTTTGGGAGGATTTGTACATATTTTCCCACAAAAAGCCTAGAAGAAAAAATGAGATTTACAGCATGACCTGAAGGTCACCAAATGTGAGTTTCATCTGACTGCTCAAGATACTGAGTTCCCAAGAGTGAGAACTGCTTGGCAAAAATCCCCTACTGATTAATTTACAGGGTTATTTGTTAGAACACCTCCCCTGGATCTCAGATATCGTATTTTCTTACAGACATCCTGGGAAAGCCTGAAAAAAGACTGGGGCATGCACTCTTAGCCACCTATGCTACCTAATTGTTGGGCTTGGCCACTCACAAAACAGGAACAAGGGGGTGGAGTTTATTTCTTGGAGGTGTTCCAAAGCTTAGCATCAAGGTAAAATAGAGAAGACATAATACACTGAATCTTAAACGATCTATAGGTCAGAATTCTGCCTACTCTTCCAGATTTTGCAGCAGTCTCATTTGTAAAGACTCTTGATCCTAGCCAAAATTTCCCCTCACTGTTCTGCAGTATGCTGAGCACTAGTTAGCTGCTATTTCTTATCCCAGAAGTGACTGCCTTTCAGACGGGTAGGAAGAGGGCTTTGGGGTGAACAAAAATTCTTAGAGAGTTGCTATTATATAACGGATCTGCCTCTTCTGTTTACTCAGAGTCAGATATGATTTAGTGACTAAAAAGTAAATCACTGCTGCTTTTTATGCTTTCTTATGTGTTTTTTTTTTTATTTCTTGTGCACCACCAAAATAACTCAAAAATAACTTACTCAGTTCCATGTCTAGACCAATCAGATTCAGCTATGTAAAGAAGGGCATAGTCTGAGGACAACAGCATTGCAAAACTGGCACTGAGGGCAGAACATGGGCCTTTTATTAGAAGCACTGAGGCATAAGAGAAAAAAAACCTGGATTTTCAGATCCCAGTTTGAGTTTTCTGAATTGGCTATTAGAAATGTGCATCTTTTAATTTGTTAACTGGAGCAGTTTTATAAGTAGTCTTTAGATCATTAAGGAATTTAATGATGACATTTCTGGAATAATTTTTCAGGGCTGAACTGTAGCGAATGAAAACCCAAAGTTATTGGTTGTATTTTTTCTCTGCTAAGATCAAATTATTTAGTATCTGGATAACAAAATAAATACAGACATAATAGATTACACTTCAAAATCAGCTGTTGTAGTTTTTTTTTAAATTTTTAAATATCAGCTTTTCCAGAAACCTATAACAAACCCTTTGGCAGACAACTCTGTACACCTGCAAAACAATGGAATGACTTGCTAGTCCCCAGGTGCTTCATCTATCCTTGGACTAGGAGGTATGCATGCAATAGACTTTTCAGCTTCCAGTTTTTACATTTTTAAGTGAGCTTAAAGTTTGTGGATGGCACTGGAGTAACAGCTTTGGACAATGAAATTCTCTTTATATCTAATCAGATAAAATGATATGGGGAATATATATGTTTCCCTACAGTGAATACTGCCAATGATCTGCTGTTTGCCTTGGGTTAGCTCTGTGAGGCAGTTGATAGCTCTGTCACTGTGACCCATGTCTTCTTTTGTCACACTCTCAGCAAAGGCTCTGAGGGGTGCTAAATGACATGGACACATGCTTGACATTATCATCTAATTTTACGAATCTCACCAAGAAGCTTTGACTGGGAGACCTTTGTCACAACTGACCTGGATGGGATTTGAATCAGCGATTTAGAGAAAAGAAGGGCTTCATGTTGTATTACCACCCCTCTGAGCCATGCAGTGTCATTTATCTGTTTTTTGCAAGGAAAAAAAACCCTGCCATTTTAAAAACCATGACAATGATTCCGAGTAAAATATGTTAAAAAATAAAAAGTTGACAAGAGAACAGATTTGAGAACTCCAGCTGAACTCTTGCATGCACCCACTCCATTGCAACTAGCTATTACAGCAAATATGAAAACTGAAATCACCTGCTGTGTAGCGCCCCTTGTGATACCTAGGCACAGCAGGAGAGACAGGGGTGAGAGAGGATAGAATCTCAGCCTTAACTGTGAATTTCCTGCCTTTGGCTAGTTTATGTCATCACCTTACCATTATTTAAAAGGTAATTTTGCTTGTCTGAGACTACAGAAACTTGAGAGTTAAACTGCTTGGCATTTTATGGGGAGGAAAGCTTTGGCTTAAGTTTCCTTTTACAAGAGTAAAGATTTGACAAGTTTGGCAGCTGAGTTTGTGTATTAATATATTTCTCCAGGGAAGAAAATATATAGAAGATATAATTTCTTTTACAGGCCACACAACAGAAAATTCCAAGGAGGCCTCTCATTGAAACATTTTTGACATTCACTTCCTCACAGAATATAATCTAAGGGGTTATTTTCTCATTTTGATGCACATAGATTTATATACATGTAACTCCAACTGGTGCCATCCTTTGGAGAAGAGACTTCCCTTCAAAAAGGAGCTTGAAGCTTTTCCTTATCTTTTCTTTTGTGGCTATTGCCCCATGAAAGTCTCTGTTAGTGCAGACAAATATTAATGATTTAAGTTTTATAGTTCAGCTCCTCCAGAAAAAAGTGGAATCCATGGTACTTAAACTGATTAGATATATAAAAGGAAATGAACATAAAGAAGATCAATAGAACTCAACAGGTTAATAGCAAAACCCCAATATGGACATTTGCCTGCAGGCCAGTCTGACTTTTTGGGTGATGTCTATACCAGGAAGCACAGCCACTATAGCACTGCTTCTGTGGCTTTAGTGGTGAAAGGTTCACTCTGCAAAAGATTTTGAGATGTTAACCCTTTATTCTGAAACAGAGCAGGTACCCAAATTTTAAAAAATTCCACCAATGAAACCTCTATTTCTATATCATTTTAAATATTTGGTCTATATTTGCCTTTTTTTATTTTGCACGTATAGTTATATATAACAGGAAACCACATAAAAAGGTTGCTATACATGTTGCTTCAAAATGAAACAGTGAAATCATTTTTCCCCTGAATATAATCAAAAAGGGCATTCAGATGCCATTGGAGCCTGTCCCTGCTCTTTCTATATCTTCTCAAAATTTGAGAGCTCCAGTTATGTAAAAGTTTGTGAATGCAATTTTGTAAAATGTTCTGACACAATATGACTGTATCAATGTTCTTTCCACCAAGTCTAACTGAAGGAGCAAGTCATTTAAAACTGCAGTGGATATGACATTTAGGATGTACTAAATTATAAGATCCCACATTGACTGAAGTTGTTCTGGGCAATCAAAATGGTTTTATACAGTCTCTAAAACTTACAATTCTTTGTCTCACCTAGCCAACATTGATATGCAGCTACCTATGGGATGAGATGAGAGTGATTCCTACAATCAGAACACCTCACAAATGTTTTGGGAGGGAAAGTACAGATTTAATATATGCAGTAGAAGCTACAAACCAGGGCCCTTTTGAGTAAAAGATACCACAGATACCTGAATAGGCCCTTGTCTATGTTACAAATTCTGTTCTAAGACACAGAGCTAGCTTAATTTTGGAGTGTGAAAGTGTGAAACCCCAGAGCTCATGCAGCTGTGATGACAAAACTCTAAAGTGGCCATTCTCTCATTCAGGGGATGTCTACACCAGGAAGTCCAACCACAATAGCACTGCTACTATAGTTAAGGCAGCATCAACACTGCAGTGTAGTAAACATAGGCTAACAGTTTGGTCAAGGTTTTAGCAACTAATTTCCAAAATGTCATCCCAGAAACTTGATGCAAAAAGTATATAGAATATTCTTGTTGTTTCAGCTGAAAATAACCTCAATGAACAGTACAAAGTCCCTTAAATACACAGGGAATTAGAGAAATACAATTTCAGAAGGAAGAGATCTATTTGCTAAATCACATCACTTCACTCAGCCTCACGGTTCTCCTTTGGAAGTGTCCAATCTGAGTAACAACTGAGCTGACCCTGCTTTCGTGAGGAGGGCAAAATGCAAGATGTTAAGTCATGAAGGCTGTTCTTTTACAGGCACTAAGCCCAAGATCTGACATAATCTCCCACATTTTTCAATTGTTTCCTTAAAGCCTACTGGACTATGAGATTGTTCAGCATAAAAACATTTTGCATCTGGTTGTCAAGCAACAGATGCTCATTTTACAAATAAAAAAAGGGAGTGTGTATGTGTGTTTGAAATGCCCCAAGGAAAATTAGCCTATGGATAACACAAAGCAGATTGGGGGATTACACAAAACAGCTTTTAGTATGCATCCTATTAAGACAAAATAAGGATGCCTGTTTCAGAGGAAACAATGTGTCACCAATGAGACCAAATTAATTTAATGTCTAGTGAAAAAATATCATTTGTCCTGTACAGCAGTTTCTGTAACAAGAAAAAAAGCCCATTAGGCTTCATTAATGTAAAATAGACAAGTGCAAGGTAAATTCAGCTCATTATCTTGTCTGACATGCAATTCACTCTCTATTACCTGAATCCATCTTTATTTGTCTCAGTGAGATGGCAAGTCCCTCCATTCTGGCATGGATTCTGAATGCAGGCATTAATGGGCATACTGCAGTCTCGACCCTATTGGGGAAAGTTAAATAGAAATTCAGTTAGTAATACATACCATCTGGACTAGTCTATCTTGTTTTTCAGGTCTTATTTTTATTTCTCCATTTGCACCATATCTCCATTCAGTTTCCTGTAGCAGGGACAATTGCCAGAGGCAGACACTTTCCCTGTGTAACAGCACAGAAAAGCAGCAGTGACAGTGGGTTGTAGTGCTTGCCCTCCCCCCCCGCCGTTGACCCGGATTTGGTCACTCTGGCCCACAACCGAAAAAGGTTACTGACTGACAAAGCCAATTCTGCCAATTAAAGGCCATATTCAAAGATAAGTAAAGTACTTCAAATTATATCTGTTTTTTTAAAAATGAATTTTCCTTGTTTAACATCATGGTTCATGCTATGAGTTACAACAATAATGAAGTTTGTGTAATAGTCTTTAAAAGAACAGAATGGTTCCATGATCCAAAAGTAGCTGTGTACAATATAGGAGGATGGGACTCCTACTTTAACATATTTAGGAGCAGGTTTCATAGCTTTGTCTTTGGCTGGAGTTAGGTTAATATCTTGCTGATCTGGCTGAATCCAGAACAAAATGCAAATTCCACCTTGTGCGAATTCCCTAGCTTCCTCTTTGTGTTTTAAGTCTTTGAATGTTCAAGCTACTCTTACACTGCAATTCTGTAAAATGGACCTGCTCCTGATGGATACTGAGTTCAATACATATAGATTCAACTGCAGGATGAATATGAGGCTCCTCAGGGTAGGGACCAGTGTTCTACAGTGGCTGAAGTTTCTATCATAGATGCTGTGCAAATCTGTGCAAACAGTATGAGCCCAAATTGTTTCAGGCTTGTCAAGCTCAGATGGCTGCAGAATTTGTTTTAGTTAGCTGACACATTTTCAAAGACCACCTGTAGATTTGAAAGCTGCAGAGAAACAGAAAGCTAGCTGACAAGTCTCTGTCCATGCTGCTAATCACATGCATTACATTCAGGTGCTTTATACGCTCACATTCCCAGTCACTGGAGGTATAAGTCTCACAAATGCCAAGGAATTTATCCTCTACACTATCAGATGGGAAATAACATTCCCAGTTTACAGAGGGAGAAACTGAAGAGAGATTAGACTCAGAGAGTAGAACAGGACCAGAGGAAGCTGCCCTCCCTTGTATATGGTAGAGATGATCTCCATGGACTGGGGACGGTTCTTCCAGTCAAAAAATAGAAAAGCTTTTTGCATGTTCAGAATCTGAAGTGAAGGGTCCAGGAAATCAAGTTCCAAAAAGGAAGAGACAGACCTGATCAAATATTGGAATCACTGGGGACAAGCAGAGGCCACTCCCCAAACGAAGTATCAGGAGCAGACATACTAGTGCTTTACTCAGGAACTGGCACAGATTCTTTCTGCTTCATACATATTGAAGCGTCTGCCAAAAATCTTGGCATCTTCCATTTGAAATACTGAGTCTCAGAGGCCTCGGGAGAAAGTTGAAAGTGAAGAGGGAAGCTCATGCAGCTTTTGTTTTGGCACCATGTGTTCCACAGCACTTAGGGGATGCCAGCCACACAGAGCTAATAGGCTGCCACCCACTGCAATGTTGCCTATGCTTTGTCCATCTGTGTTGCAAATCCTATGTGCTTGTCGTGTTACCCTAGGGAGGCTGGGAACATGCCATCTTTAATATTTCTCAAATGTTCAACGCAAATGCTTTTCAGTATCCCTGGTAAACTGAGTATTTTGCGGATGATTCAATACTGTAGCTATCATTGCAATTTCACATGCTCTCTCTGTTCTCTTGGCATCACAATTTGAAAACACTCTGTGAGCTAATTAACCATAGCAACAAGCAAAACAAAAAGCTAGCATTTGGGTTTTTTTCAAAAAGTCCTAAAAACATCCTTAGAGCAGTCTTTCAAACAGTCACTGTAGCATAATCCCATTACTTTTAATACAGTTAGGCAGACTGGCTTGAGGTTTATAGTAAAAATATTAAGGATCAAAGTTAAGATGAGAGCATCTCTTTTCCAAGGTATCCTCTAACCTCACATATTTGGCAGACAGTTCCCAGTCTTTTACTGAATATACCTGTGTTGCTGGTTTTCCAGGGCCTCTGGCAACATGGAAACTGAACAATGTGTTCTGCTGTATCAGGCTGTTGATTATTTCACTAATTTACTATATGGCATTAGGTAAATCAGAGCCATCTTACCTTACTTTATCCCATTTGAAAGCAGTAGGATACCTGTGTCTCTCTTGCAAACATGAGTCAATTGTTTGCACAACACCTTTAGGTCCTTGAGAAAAAGGTGCTATATATGTGAAGTATTTTATTACATAAAAGACTGTGAAAATACATGACTGTTCTGAGAAAGATGAGACTGTTTAAAATACTGGTATTGATTAATCCACAGCAAACTAAGGCTCCTTTACTTCTGAATAAGATCATTCATAATGTGCTTTAACGTGCCTTCACACCTTTAGTTAATTTGTCTTCCACATAGAAGAGCCCTAAAGACATGTTGAAAATATCTTTCAAATAATTATGGCAATTCTCTGGTTCCAATTTACAATGAGAATAGGGAAACAAGAAATTTCTTTTAGTGTCAACTCAGCTCATATTGAACATTTGTGCTAAGACTAATGGTGTGTGAATTAAGACTGGACTGGAGAAAGAGGTAGAAGCCCTCAAAAGGTAAACACAAATCACACGCATAGGTTGGGGGATCCCTCTCGTCTTTGACTGAAATACTTTCTTTTTAGGAGCTTCTAATTTTGCTATAAATGATGATAAGGCAAAATGCAACACCCTAGAAATATTTTTGATGATGGTTTCCATTTCTCAGCTGGCCAGACAGAACACATACACATCCATATATTGGCTTCACATGTGCCCATGTAAAGCTGAATTCCTGCATTGACCTCAATTCGCTCCAACTTTAGAAGAACTGTTCTGGTTGAAAACTCCTCTAACTGAGAACAGAACCCAACCTGAGGTACTTAGAAAGCTTCACTCCTTTGTTTTAGACTCAGCACTGATTGAAATTGATTAAATTGAGTAAAATCAATTGTACTGGACTGTGTTATACATAACAAGTTGTTCTTCACTATACTTGTCTGAAATTTTGGAATCCAATGCTGGCCTCTACTTGTATTTGGTCCTGGAAAATGTTATGGCATGAATACCAAAAAGCCACTGAGAACTGGCATAAGCCAACAGAGAGTTGGACAATAGGGCAAGAACAAACATGGGCGATGCAAACATTTGTTTTATTCAAAAACACAAGTTTTTGACAATATGTTAATCATTTAAACTGGTTTCTGTGAATGATTATTTTGTTTATGGAAAACTTAAATGTCATATGCAGGGTTTTGCAGCACACTCATTTAGCTATGCATCCCGATATTTTGCATTTTCTTCTACCTGTTTCTAAGAGAGTCAGGCAAGCAGGGAGCAGCATGTAACGCATGCCACAAAGAAGGCTTGATCCTGTGCTACTGAAATCAGTGGCACTTTTACCATTGACCACAATGGGTTTAGGATAGACTTCAAACTGAAGAAACAAGGGCAACCTTAGATCAAACAGTTCACAGATACTCCATAGCCTGAAGTGCTATCATATGAAGTGTCTCAACAGTTACAAGAGACAAAAAAGTCTGATTATCTGTGATAATCCTTAAACAAAAAGAAAGCCAAAATTCGTCAAATTACTTCATGGAAATTACTTCTCTGGCTCTGCTTTACTTCATAAGTCATAGGCAGCTTTCTTTTACCAGCGGAGAACAAGGGCCTACTGATACAGAAACTATTACTATATATAACAATATTTAAGGAACCTATTCCACATACTGTAATATCACTGTATTTTATACACAATGCACATCTGGATAAGATTTGCACCTTGTTTTTGAAAGACAGACTTAAGAAAATGGAACTTTCCTTGTAGTAAGTAACTGAGTAGCAACATCTAAAGAGCCAAGCACACTCACTGACTTGTTCCCTGTGGATTGTGTGTCACCACAGAGCCCATCAATGAGCTGTGGTAGAGATCATCCTCAAATCAAGGCATTGTTAACAGTGTAGATCGTGTGCAGATTTTACTTTTGCTTTATCTCGCTAAGCAGCAAAGCAACAAAAGCTGCTCTTACTGGGTGCATCTACCCATGTTATTAAGGTGACGTGATAAACTCCAATGCAGTTTGCACCACAGGCAGCTGCTCCCAGGTGCAGAGTCTGCAGATGCTCCCAGGACTACAGCAGTTTAAGCGGGGTGAAGCAGCCCCAGGCTGGCAGCAGACTTGGGGTGGGGACCAGCCCCAGGGTCCAGGTGGCGGCATTGTGTGGCGGAGGGGATGGCTGGAGCATGAGAGTGCTGAAACTGCAGAGGCATGTGGCTAAACCCCCAAGACTGTTGCCACCCTGAGGCCTGCTCTGTCCTGACTCAAACTGCTGCAGTCCCAGTCATTGCCACATGTGTGTTTCTGCTTAGTAAATGACTCTGCCATAAGATAGTACTGTTCCCGACAGTACTATCTTATGGCAAAGTTAATTAACTTATTGTGTCCTAATATCAGTGCACATGAAGATGGTGACGCTTTACTATGGAGCTAATTAGTCTACTCAGCAGTAAAGCACATGTGTGGATGCACCCACTGTATTTCCTTTATTTAGAATGCACACTCCAATTTCAAGCAGCTGATTTTGGAAAAATGTGTATGTTGTATGCAAGAAAACGTGTTTCCATCAAAATGCAGCCAATATTTTCAATTACCTTGATTTGTCCCTACTCAGATCCCTCATAAATGTGCTCTCTGAAAATAGCCCAACTGCATTTTAATAGCATAAATATTCTGGGAAAGTAAATTTCAAAATCATGTACATAAGCATTTCCACAAACTGAATTTAGACTTTCCTTCTGTATTTTTGCCATGAGCGTTTTTGTACTAACCAAAGGAGTAAATGCCTGAAGTCCCATTTTACCAGTACATACAGCTCAAACACCTAATTCTTCAAAAGCT